ATCATCAGATATTGTCCAAGATTAACCTTCAGGGTGGATATAGCTCGCTAGCACCGAGGACCTATCCATGTCATCATTTACCCAGAATGCTTTGTGTGTAAATAAAATGGCTCTGTCTGTGTTAAAATATATATTAAAACATTTAAAAAACTAAACAGCCTACAGTATTTTTACAGTCTTTATATTACAGTTAAAATATATGTTCATCAAATAAAGTCAATGTCAACTTTATTTATAGAGCACTTTAAAAAAAACAGCAACCAACTGCACCAAAGTGCTGTACAGCAATCATAAAACTGATAAAAGCATATTGAAGTAAAAACAATAAATTAAATAGACAAGACACATAGAATACAATGTAAACCCTTATAAAAATGCCAGAGAGTAAAAATGAGTTTTCAGAAGAGATTTGAAATGTTCCAGACTATGGGAAGATCTAATATTGAATGGTAAGTTGTTCCACAAATTATTATTATTATTATTATTATTATTATTATTATTATTATTATTGTTAAGGAAATAAAGTCTAATGTTACAACTAATCGTGGATCTCTTTAATGCAACACCACAAGAATTTTCTCTGTGGACTGGTGTGTTAGAGATGCTCACTTTATTAATAAAAACRAATATGAGTCTTTCTAGCTCTTTACTTCCGATGCAAACTATTTCATGTTGCCTTGCCTGTGCAATTCTTGCAAATTTAGAATGAAGTATTGAGAATCTGTAACATCCTCTTACAAAATCTGTGCTTAAAAATAAAAATCTTCTTTTTCAACATCCACTTTGAAGAGGGCGTGAACAAACAGCAGCGACGCGCCGTCTGCTGGAGCTCGGTTTTATCCGGGACACGGGCTGACGAGCCGAGGAGCAGCAGCATAAAAATGAGCCGTGGCGCCGAACAATAGAAGTACTGCAGTCAGCTCGCTGCCGGATCAGTGAYTCACACCGGCGCTGCAGTCAGGTTCAAACGGCAGCGCGAGCGCAAACGCGCACGGAATCTGTGAGGTTTCTTCAAAAGCAGAAACACGGACAGAATAACTGCAACCCAAAGCTGAAATGTGTGCTCAACCGTTCAGAGATAAGAGCAGAGAAGCATGAGCTGGTGGAAAAGAGAAGAAAATAAAAAAAAGAAGTGAAAGATGGAGGAATGTAGTACAGAGACACACACAGAGCTCAGTGTTTCTGCAGGTTGACAGTAATAAATGTAAAACCAGGAAAGCTGATAAGCGGAACAGAGTGGAGCTGGAGGAGGGCTGAATGTACGTGCAAAAAATAAATAAAATACAGATCTGAAGTCCAACATTTACTTTAGATCATCAAATCTCCTCTGTATGTGCAGTYCTGCTCTGCCACAGTCAGAGCAGAGTCCTGGGTATTTACTGCCAGATAAAGTCAGTGGGGAGCAGGAGAGGAGGGGAGAACGTGAGGAGGCAGCAGTAAGGAGGTGAGGAAGGGGATATGTGAGATAAGGCAGTAAAAACAATTTAAAAGAAAAAAAGGAAACAGAGGATGAAGATATTTTAAAGCCATAACACCATTTTCCTAAAGCTAAACTAAAACCTCTAAGCTCCACTTTACTCATTTCTCTTTTTAATAGCAGAAAATTCCAACTAGAGGAAAACACCTAACAGAAGTAAAACTAATGACAACACAAACACCAGCTGACTGAGATTCTGCTCCTTTTATCCACCAGCAGGATCTTAATGAGAGAAATATCTGCTTTGTGTCTGTTATCCATCACGCCTTCGTCCCTCTCTGCTGACCGCTGCAGTCGTTGCCATACAATCACTGCAACTTTCTGGGAGGAAAAAAAAAAACAGTCGCAAAAAAACTGAAATATTTCGGTTTATTTTCATTGCCTGACCACTATAATTAAGTGGAGTTTTTCAGACTGAAAGTCTCACTGCTGTCAAACACGCACAAACTCTTTGACCTTTCCACTGAAGYTACGAGCAGAAACGAGAGAGAAAAAAAAAGGCAGGAAAAGTCACGGAGAGATGCTGCCAATAAACAAGCTGCTTTCTTCCCTACAAAAAACAACACGTGTCAAAACAGCAACCGACAACTCACATTCTCATTTTCTTTCTCTACATTTTACCTTAATGCTTTCAAACACTAATTTTATATTTTGTCTTGATGCATCCAGACAGAGACTTTCACTGCTTATGGCACTTTTAATATACGAGTATTCTTTCCTAACGCACACTTTTATAGTTCCCAAAAGCACTGTGTGAGAACTGCAAATAAATCAACTTAAAAGGCAGAAGAGATGAAACAAGAAGCAAGAGGACGAAAACAAAAAAACGGTACGTAGAACAAAAAACACAAAGGAGGAGCGATAAAACATTAATAGACCATAAATGCTTGTGTCTGAATCATTTCTGAGATGAACTATGTTTTATTGATGGCATGAGGCAAGACTTGAAAGAAAGAAGAGATTTAAACATCCTTGGTAATAATTTATTACTATATAAACAAACCTGATTGGCCTAACTAACCTGCACCTACATTTGCTTCAAAAACTGTATTAATGAGCTACAAACTATAATAAATTCAAAACAACAACAACAACAACAAATGTGTTTATTTTAATCACAAACACTTATTAGTGACGTGAATCAACAAAGAATTCCCTATTAGCCAATTCAAATGTAATATATGGATTATTCTGCCACCTAAATATCAAAATCAAACGATTTTTAATTTGGAAATTAAATAAACTGCCATGATGGAGAAACAAGATTTAGAAAATGCAGACTTTTCTCCTTGCGCAGCTAAAAATACTTAAAGTTGACACTTTTAAACCAGCCTGCAGAGACTATTAATACCCAAACACACRAGACAAAAGAGGAAATGTGTGCGGTGTGTTCTGGCCCATGTTTGGCCGGCAGCCATGCGAACGAGCGTCTCATGTGAAGACGATGATCTCATCCGAGCGGTGAGCCACACACGAACCCTCACACATCCTCTTTCACCGTCTCCCCTCACAACAACATTTAGGCTGTTYGTGTTTGACACGCTGCTGACGTGGAACCGACAACTACGCTGCAACGTCGAGGAACAGAAAGACGAGCAACCGCCTCATCTGGAGCCGTTTAACTCGGGGATGTTCCGAGCTGATCGGATCCAGATAGTTTTATTGATCTGCGTCAGATTCCAATCCTATGTGTTTATGGTAGGAGTGTTCCAAATTTTGAGTTTTAATAAATAACTCCTCAGAAGCAGCGTGGACAGTAATGAGAGAGTACTTGTAGCAAAACAAAACAAACAAAGTAAAAACATCAACATCCTTCTTGCAGTTACTCCTAGTGACTCACCGTTTCCTTTTGAAAGGAGACTTTGGTACATCAGCTACAGGTATCATCTGTTCTCCTGGTCTGACCCACATTATCGGCCCGTCGTCGCTCTCGGTGGGATTCATGTCTCTGAGACTGGAGTGAATGCCCCACGGAAGAGTCCGCTGGGAAGGGAGAATGAGAAAGATACGTCAGATTAAAACAACATCAACAACACCATTTAAAAAAAAAAAAAACCTGCTTAACAAGTCACCAGGTGCTTTATTTGTGCAAGGTTGCTGCTAAAAAAACATCCTGCAGACAAAAAAAAAAGAAAGGATGTTTCTTGTTCAGGAATATTTGAAGCGTTAACAGAAAACATGTTTGTTGTTCCTACATTTGATTACCAGCAACAAACACTAATCTGGAGTTAAACTGCTGCAAAGGAAGAGAACAAGCAGCTGCATCAAACCAGCTCACACGTCACTTAACACCTCTTAGTTTTTTGCAGGCACCACTGAGAATAATAAGCGTGTTAATGAGCTCTATGTCTAAGAGTCTCCCTCATCAGGACTGTCAAACCACAGTAAAAATCATGCGCAGTCTAAAAATTAAGTAGCACAACTTCACGTCATTTGCACTTCAAGCACGTGACGTTACAGTTCAGTGTTTATTTAACAAAAAAATAGATTATAACAGCTAAAAAGTCTTTGGGTGTAAGTAATTCTCTGTGCAGCGCAAACTGAAAAACTTTCTAAACCCTTTTAAGCGTATCTGAATCACTCTGTCACTTTTCTTTCAACTTCCCATTTATCAAGCGAGCTGCTGTTCTGGATTACTGCCAATCACCTGCTGCAGACTCACCTTCAGGAAGGGGGACTCCTCCAGCAGGCTGAGGAATTCTGGGAAATAATCCCCAACCTCCTCGTCCACGGCTCCGACCAGGCTGACCTGCCTCATCGCCCCGGCTCTGTACGTGCCGTGACTGTAAGTTCTCTTCACCTGATTAGGGAAAAAAAAGATAACATTTAATAAAGCAGTTCAGCCCTTGACAAAAGAATTAAACTTTTTAATTAATTCCTGAAGAGAAACGAACAAACAGAGGTATTCAAGATATACACATTTCAAATCCATTTTCTACAGCAAACCAGTGGCAATATATTATCACAGGTTTACACTCACCGGCCACTTTATTAGGTACACCATGCTAGTAACGGGTTGGACCCCCTTTTGCCTTCAGAACTGTCTCAATTCTTCGTGGCATAGATTCAACAAGGTGCTGGAAGCATTCCTCAGAGATTTTGGTCCATATTGACATGATGGCATCACACAGTTGCCGCAGATTTATTTCGTGTAGAGGGCTGCGCTTACACTCATAGAATCTGGGGTTACAATACGTAACCAACCATTTGTCAGCTGCACATCCATGATGCGAATCTCCCGTTCCACCACATCCCAAAGATGCTCTATTGGATTGAGATC